GCAGTGCACAGCTATTTACAGTTGTAGCAATAAAAATAAAGGTTTTAGCTTACACAGGAACAGCAAGGAATTAACCCCGTGGTTAACGGCACAAGTTGTTTGGTTTTCAGAGCTTTTTTTTTTTTCATTGTTTGAAACAAAATTCTGAGTAAGGGGAGAACATTCTTAATGAACATTTTCCTCCTCTCTCTTTAGACATAAAAAATAGTTGCAGCAGCCCGAGCAGCCGAGCAGGCCTTTTGCTTCCCCTGCGGACACCTCCTGCAGTCGAGAAGTTCATTAAGTTTTATGATCTTCCCAAGTCAGTCCTGCTTATAAGCCTCACAAAGGCCACAAATCTGGCAAACCATCATGTATGCCATTAGGCTTTACTAGGAAATGAATGCTATTTAGGGGTGGTGGTGACAGTAAATTCGGGGTTGGTTGGCAGCTATCATTGTTGCTGCTGGACTTAGGGAAATAAATAAATAACTGTATATTTGTACGCAGATACGCACACGGATTCAGACGTTTTTATAAATGTGTGATCCTATCTGTACAAGTGATTTCTAAAGACAAAAACCCAAATCATCTATCAACACTATCCAGGACCTAATAATATGTCGTTCCATTGGGAAATAATTGCAATTCCCTAGGACATTTTAAGACTACCAGAATTAATATATTTTCACTTCTTTCTTCATGAGAATAACCAGGACCACAGGTAGAGCAAGGTCCTAATGGAAGCTTAATCAAATCACCAATCTGAAGGCATTTTAGTCAGTAAAGAAGAGCTATTAAAAAAAACCAAAGGTGCAAATCAGTTTTTGATTCCTCCTGGCGGGAAGTGAGGGGATGGACTGTGACACAGGTATGCAACAGATGTGAGCGTGCGCTGCACGGGCAACTTCCCCGCTCCAGTGACAGCCCAGAGAAGGGTAAAACAGCACAGCAGAGTCACCAGACGCTCACCTGCTTATCTTCCTATTTTATTGGAGGGGCTTTGGTAGAACTTTGGCATCATTTTTCTTTGAACTAATTAAAGCCAGGGGTGGCAGTTTCTTTACGAACACCATGCTACCTTGTGGTTGCCTCTCAGAATGCACACCACTATTAATAGCTGTAAAGCGCTTAAATGTATTATGCAGCACTTTTGAAAATGTTAAAAATGTTGAAAAAGAAATGTCAGGCTAAATTCAGTAACTCAGTGATCTGCTTTGTACATGGTAAATACCTCACAGGGAGAAAAAATAAAAATCTTCAGCTCCTGACCCTGTGTGAGGCTTTCAGAAATGAGATGCAACCATTAACCCTTGGGGGGAAGTGACAGAGTGGCTCCAACTAAACTGAGGATTCCTCCTCGCGCTCTCTCCTGGCCGGTCTCACAAAGTCCTCACTGACTGCACTGAAAAGTACTAATGTGTAAATAGATACATAATTCAATACAAAAATTACTTAAATATTGCATGACTTATTTCTGAGCAGACATGACTGCAACTCCACTTTCTGCTAGGCTCCAGCCTCTCTCCTCACCTCTCAGAAGAAGGCAGCAATAAAGCCATCATGGCAATTCCCACACCCAGGTAAACTTTGCTTCTGATCAATTCTGGAAGAATTAAACACCGGCACATGACCCCACTGGAGGCAGGTTTAAGCACTCGGACCACAAGACAATGAGGAACCCCAGTGGGAGGGGGACACCTCTGCTTTAACTGTATCTCAGACCCTTCCTCGTCCTTCCAGTTCAGAATTGCTTAAGCCATTCCCTACGAAAACAGCTTCCAGAAAGAAAACAGGCTACAATTTATTTTCACATTTTCTTTGCTTTAGCACGCTAAATAAAGCCTGCACAGACATTTCACCTCAACTGTGAGACCCTGAGTGAAGGTCCCCCTCCGGGAACAGTTTTTGGTGGGGGTGTGGATCCATCTCCATCAATCACCCGGGGCATTAATCCTGTCCCTCCCGCGCTGCCGGCCTGGCAGGAGCGCGCCTTTGGGCAGGCAGACGCCTTCACTCTTTGTTGGTTCCCAGCGATTTCACAAAAGAGATAACTCGCAAACTTGGCTCGACTTCTTGCAGTATAAAGGCAGGATCTCAACTTAGAAGTTATCACTGAAACACCCCGAAAGGTTTCAGATCAGAAAGTCTCTTGTCAGGTTCCCTCTCGCCTGCGAGACCGCGGCGGCCTCACAAGCACCCTGTGCCAGTAATCCCGCTGCTGAAAGGACTCGGGCTTTCCTCGAAGCTCACCTCTGACATGTGGCTGACTACACTTGCCTTTCAAAACACCGAGGCTAAGCCCTCTGCAAATAAAGTGACCGCGGGACCTACGCCTGTCTCCTTAATTGAAATCTGCCTCCTGCAAATGTCTGAACACCGAGGGCAGGCTGCTTTCTGGCTCCGGAGCAGGATGGGCAAAAAAGTTTAGGGAAAGGCAGGAAACAAACACAAGCCAAAGCAGGATGGAAAGGGCTTATGAGCTGATCAAGGCGGAACATAGGTAGGTGGGGAGGGAGGGCAGGAGAGGGATCATTCCCCTTATCCTGGGTAATATAATGCAACATAAAGCAGAATCAATCTTAATATTCACAACACAGTCAATACCCTAGTGCTTAGCTGTCAGCAGGAACTGAAGTGGATCCCCGGTAGCAAAGAAACCTTTGGACATAAAGCAACATAATTCACGGAGAACCGCACGCTCCGGGCTCCACAGCTCAGATTTGCAATGATTTCACATTGGGTTGTGTTCATCCAGTTTTATATTTTCAGTGTGGAATTAAGCAGAATGTGATTGAGGATCACATAGTGCTAAAAAGCCAGGCAATGGTTTTAGTTATATGTGAATAAATGGCTATTTATTTTTAAATCCAGATCATAATGAATGTTTTTCTTATTGTTAAGTGTTCTTATTATTCTCAAATGTGATTATTCTCATTATTCTTATTATCATAAAATTCCCTTATTTTCATAATACAAAGCAGTATACTTTGCAAATTTTCTTCTTTAAAAAAAATAATTCTCTATAAATTCAGCGATGTGAAAAAATTGCAAAAAAATCCCCTAAAATGCCCCTAAGAAAAACACGGGGTTTATTCGTGTCGCGTTAACGTAGAGGAAAAAAATTCTTTTTGTACTTTTGAGACGATTTTTGAGAATTTCGGCGTTCAAAAGCCCGGCGCCCGGGAGGCACCGGAGCCGCGCCGGGCACAGAGTGGGGTCGGGGCCGCCGCGGGGTCGGCTCGGCCCCCGCCCTCACAGGGCTGCCGGCCCGGGGGCTGCAGCCCGCGGTCACACCGCCCTCACAACTCTTTCCACGCTGTCTGGCGCTCAAAAGGCAGCGCGGGCGCCCCGGGCCGCGGGGCGGCGAGGGGGGACCCCGCGCCATTTCACGGCGCTGCCGCCGCCCCTGGAGCGGCCCGGCCGGCGGGTCCCCGGCCCCGCGGGGCTCCCGCGCCCGGCCCGACCCGGCCCCGCCCCGGCAGCGCCGTGAGGGCAGCCGGCGCGCGCTGCCCGGCGGCGGCGGAAGGCGGCAGCGCTAAGATGGCTGCCGGCGGCGCGGCGCGGGCGGCCGCTACCTGTTTTTCCTTGATTCTCGCAGAGGACGCTGAACAGGGCGGGTTTCATTCCTGTGGCAGTTCAGGGCGTGTTCCTTGAAGAGAGCAAGGACAAGCGGTTAACGCCGGGCTCGGCAACATGGCGCCTTCCCGAGCCCCGCGCTGGGGCCGCGCGCCGCCCGGCGGGGTCCCGCGGCCGCGGGCAGCGAGGGGCGGCCGGGCCCTTCCCTCACCCCGCTTCACTTTTAAACCGAATTATCTTGGTGCAAACGCCGCCCTAACCGCGGGGATAAATCACCCCCCACACCTTGTCCCCGTCCTGCGATATTAGAACTGATTTATTAAGGAGGATGGGGGGGAGGGGATGGTGCAGAGTTAACATTGTTTTTGTATTTATTGTGATTTAATACAGCCAGGGTTTGGGTTGGGTTTTATTCACACACACACACCCCTCTCCTGCAGCAGTATCTAGTCAGGTTTATAATTCATCTGCCGCCACTTTGAGACAAGAAAGAAAGAAAGAAAGGGACAAAGTTGTACTTTTAGGGATGGCCGGCCGGGCAGACAGACGGACAGACGGCGGCGCAGAGGCCGGTGTCCACCGGACAGTGTCCAGCGGGAACGGGCAGGGATCAGCCACTGCCTCCCGCGCACCACAGCAACGGCAGAACCATCGCATACTTCTCCATTTATTATATCTAATTTTTTTTAAGGAAAGAAATCATTAAATAGCAACTTTGGCTCTGCCTTGACTGCTGGTAATTTCTCCTACGGCCCCAAGAAGTTGCTCTTAATTGTGAGACTCCGGGTCTCCGCAGAGGAGCAGGAAGAAGAGAAACAAAAACCACACACACACACCAAAAATAAAACTAAAATAATAATAATAATAATTAAAAAAAAGGACAAGGTTTAATTAGACGAAACCAACTTTGCTTGTGCCTCATCCAGGCTTTGGTCAGTGATGGTCATGATCTGATGGAGGATGTCGCCGATGTCCTGCTTCCTGCCGTCGCCGTCGGCCCCTTCGTGTCCGTGGGGAGGCGGCAGGGCCATGCCCCCCTGCACCGAGTGCCCGGCCAGGTTCACGCCGGCCAGAGTCTGCAGCATCCTGGACTGATCGTCCATGGCTCCGGGCCGGGCCGCGCTCCGGGCGGTCACGGCAGCGCCTGCCCCGCTCAGTCCCAGTGCCGCGCTCCCGACCGCGCTCTGCACACACACCACAAAAACAAGGGGGAGAAAAAAAAACCCAAACAAAACAATAAAAAAAAAAATGTAGTATTTGTGTTTTGACCGGATCTCAGCTGTTTATTCCACTCTCTTCTCCTTCCCAGGGCAGTAAATCACTCTCTTCTTTAGTTACAATCTTCTTTCATCATCATCATATTGGTGCCTCGGATAAATGAGCTGAGCAGGTTTCTGTGAGGTTTTCCTGGTACAATCTTCCTCCAAAGCTTTTTTTTTTCCCCCTTTTTATTTTTATTGTCGCTTTTTATGTCTTTCCCCACTTGTCCAAAAATCTTCTTTGAAAAAAGGCAAAATTAAAAAAAAAAAATTAAATACAAAATCAAAAAAACTCGCTTTCAAATCCTTCAGAAGTTGAGAGGGTGCAAACAGCAAAACCCACAACAAACCAGCGAACACCCCCACCCCCAAATTGCAACATAAAAAAAAAGCCAAGAAAACACAATCATAGAGGGGAAAAAAAAAATTAATCGCCCTCCCCCCCAAATAACAAACGATCCCAAGTCTGTGCACGGGGGTGAGACAGCAGCAATCAAAAGTTTGAACTTGTGCAAAGAAAAGAGCGGAAATAACGGGGAAAGAACTGTAAAAAAATTAATTACACACTCTCTGCAAAGCAATGTGCAAAAATATCGGCCCGCCGGAATTTATGAGCCCCGCGCCCGGTGCCCGCGCGTGTTTTATGTTGTTTGATGGCCGCTCCGGTGAGGGATTGACAGGCTGCCAACGCCACTCACTCACCGCAGACGTGTCACCCTGTGAAGGAGCCGAGCGGCGCGCGAGAGGGAGCGGATCGCGGGCCCCGCCCGCGGCCCCGCTGCCCGCCCGCCCGGGCCCCGCCGCCCCGCTCCGCCCGCGCTCCTCCCGCCGGGCCCGGTGGCGCCCGCGCTCCCGCGGCGCGGGGGGGGGGCCTCGCGGTGGGCCGACGGCCGCGCTGGCCAAACCGCCGCGCGCCAGGGCCGGGCCTGGTGGGACGCCGGCCAATGGGCGCGGCGGGGGACGAAGTGCCGCGCCCGCCCGCCCCCGGGTAGGCCCGCCCGCAGCGGCGGAGGAACTTGTGATTGGTCTGTTCGAACGGTCACGGGGCGGGGCTCGCGGCCCGGGCCCGCCCCCGTTGCCATGGTGACGCCGGGCCGGGGCCGCGCGGCCCCTCTGGGAGCGCTGGGCCCGGCCCGGCCCCGTTCGGTTCCGTTCCGCTCGGTTCCCACAACGCTGCCCGGCCACGGAGCTTCGGCCGTGCGGTGGAGCCCGGGCGCAGGATGGAGGCAGCTGCTGTGCCAGGCCCGCCCGTGCCCCGAGCGCAGCCCCGCGGAGCAGCTCGGGCCGTGCGTTGCCGGGGCTAATTTCAAATTACCTTTTTGCAAATCTGCACAGACCCCCGAAATGGGAGCAGAAAAAAGCACAAGCACCAAGGGTAATTAACACTTCATTCTCTGAAGGGTTATCTGCAGATCATTGCCACCCCACCCAAATTGTCCTCTCGTGGGACACCCCTCATGCAAGTACCCAGTTCCTTTAATTCTGACCCATTTTTTTCACACTTTGGACAGTGTGTAACACAGCTGTTACCACAGAGACCTCTCAAGGAAGGGAAACCACGTGTAGCTGTGATAAAGAGCCACAGTAGCAATTAAAATGATCCTTAACTTGCTCTATCTGTGGTGGATGGTTTCAGTGGAGCCATGTCCAAACCTCATCCCTGTCTGGCCTTCCTGGGTGTCTGCTGATGCCTCCAGCTCCGTGTTGCTCAAGCAGAGCTCCCAGCTCCTCTCAATCCCAGCTGACATCCCCACACCTTCACTCGGGCCCTGCATGCCATTGTGTGATCTGGAACGCTTTACCGGGAATGGGGATGGCTCCTGGTCAACAAGTCTGTGCTCTCACTGTTCCTCCTAGCAATTAACAAGTTCATTCACATTCCAATTGCCTTCCATTTTGATTATCCCACCATTGTCCAGTCTGAGCCAATGAATTCTCAGGGTCATCCAACTTTACTACCACTGCTACTCCAAAGGCATTTTATTATTGGTATTATTGCAAATATTTCACAGATCTGTTTGCATTTGGACCGAGTGCAAAGTCTCACAGATGGAAAGGACAGTTCCACTGGCATCTGAGCCAAACAGGATGGTGCTGCCTGGCCAGCCCTGGGCTCAACCCACCCCACAGGGACCTGCTCAGTCCCACCATGTCCACACAAAGCTGCTGTGCTGCGTGAATTTTTGTACTGTTTTGTGAGGCTGAGTCCAGTCATCCCAGAGCTCTGGGCCCTGCCAGCTGCAGCCAGGGGCTCGCTGGGACCTGCCCTGTGCTAGGGCAGCTCCAGTGCCTGCCCTACTCCCCCACTGCTGCCAGACAATGTCACCTGCTCTTCACAGGGACTTCTGCTCAGGTGCCCTTGGTGACACTTGTGCTGTGCTGTTCCCTGTCCTTCTCAAAGGCTGTTTTTCGATGTGTGCAGCTGCTGAGACTGCCAGATAAGGCTTTCCTCTGGAATTAACCAGCAGTCTCATTACTTCCATGGGAGATTGTGAAGCCTGCACCAGCAAGCCTGGAAAGGTGACAGGGACACACGGCCACCGGGCCAGGAACAGGCACCGACAGGAAAAGGAACCCTGGGAGCACCAGGGAACATGCTGGGCTCTGGGGGACCGGGGTGTGAGGTGGGGGCCCCTGAGGGTGGCCGGGCTCCGCTGCTCGCCCAGGCAGCCGTGTAGGGTCAGCCCAGGGCTACCCGAGCTCCGGGATAACCCACGGTCAGTCACTGCCCTGTGCAGCTGCTACCTCTGTTTCAGGTTCCTCCCGTTTGCGTTTGTACATCGAGTGCTAGCCGGCAGGTTTGTTTTAAAACCATCAAACAAACACAAGCCTCACAGTGTTTCAAGCAAGAAATCGGAATTAAGATTGGCGCGATCCCCATCGGAAAAGCCTCCCGTGTGCGGCTCCGGGGAGCGTGCAGCCGCTGCGGGTGTCGCCCGGTGCCAACCGGTGTTTCGGGGCCGTGTCGGCCGGAGCCCGTGCCCCGCCGCCGTGTTGTGCCGGTGCCGCCCCGCGTGCCGTGCCGGTTGGCCTCCCGCGCCGCTCCCGGTGCCGCTTCCCGGTGCCGCTCCCGGTGCCGCTTCCGGCGCCGCCGCCCCGCCCGTTCCGCGCCGTCACTTCCGCAGCCGCGGCGCTCCCGGTCGCGCGCGGCCCGCGCCCGTTCCGCCGGCCCGGACCCGGAAGCGGCTGCAGCGGCCCCGGCCCGGCCCCGGAGCGGCGCGGCGACGCCGGTAAGTGCGGGTGGGGGGCCTGGGTTGCCGCTCCCCGCGGCCCCGGCGGCTTGCGCCGCGCCGTGACCCCCGGTGTGCTGCCCGCGGCCCGCGCGGGACCCCCGCCCGGTGCGTGTTGCCCGGCCCCGGGGGTGTCACCCCGCCGGGACATGGCTCGGGGCAGCCCCGCGGGTCCGGGCCGGGAGGAGCCGGCGGGGGCAAACGGAGGGGCGGGTCAGACGGCGTTCCGACAGCGAGGGCAGCCGGAGAGCAGGTTGAAGTGGACGAGCGGCTGGAGCGCAGAGCGGGCGCGAGGCCGGGCGGGGACCCCCGCGCTGCGCTGGGAGCTCCGGGGCCCGCAGGGTCTCAGCCTAGTGCCCTCACTTCGTGGGAATCACCCCTCACACCCCCCGTGCCCCTGTCACACGCACCCTGTCCCTTCTCCTGGCTGCTCCTGCAGCCCGCAGGGGAGGGCTCTGCCTGCCCAGGTGTTCCCAGAAGGGCACTTTTGGCACGATCGCGCCCAAATGTGTTGCTGGATGGGGCTCTCGTTCCTTCACCTGTTGGCGAGTGCCATCAGTCCTGGCGTCTGCACCGCAGGAACAATGTAGTGGAGCAGGAAAGGTGTCCGGGAGACACGGCAATGAGTCGATTTCAGTGCTAGTGGAAGTTTGGTGATTGCCTAAATGGAGATGCCAGAGCCAAGCTTGGATTTCCTGACTGGATTCTACACAATTTTAGGCGTCAGGGGGATTATCAAGTAGATGCAAGGCTGGGAATTAGACTCTCTCAGTTACGTTTCCAAATTCAGAACAGCTCCATTCACGGACACTTTTTTGGGTTAGATTAAAAATAAATTGAGATCAGCGTCTACATATAGACTTGTACAGAAATAACTGAAGGAGGGAATTAGAACCAATTTAGTACGTTTCTGTCTCAGTCATGTTTCAGGTCTCTGTTATTACACTCTTTCCTCATCTGTTTGTTGGTTAAACTGTTTCACCCAGTTGCAACAAGTAGCAAGTGTTAAAATAACAAATAACAAATGTTAAAATAACAAGTAACAGCTGCGATCTTGTGTACATTTCTTGTTGGATCAGCAAAAGCCTCAGCAGGTGAAGCAGCCTGGCACAGGGATCTGCTTTACACATTCTGTAGCAAGAATTTTGCTTCTGAAGTTGTGAGCATGAAAAGTAGACACTCGTATGGAAAGGTCAGTTATAGCAACAAATGGGACATCAAATGAACAGGATACGAGTCACAGCCCTGGGTAGGACCAGCCCATCTCCCATGTGGCAGCTCTTTTTGGAGATCACAGAATCATTGAGGTTGGGAAAGCCCTCCAAGACCATCAGGTCCAATCTTTGACCCATCCCCTCCTTGTCACCCAGCCCAGAGCACTGAGTGCCACGTCCAGTCATTCCTTGGACACTTCCAGGGATGGGGTCTCCACCACCTCCCTGGGCAGCCCCTTCCAATGCCTGACCACCCTTTCCAGGAAGAAATTCCTCCTGATGTCCACAATTCCTTCTGATGTCCAAGGGCAAATGGCACTTGCTGAGGAAGGCAGGGAGAGCTCAGGCTCTCTTCAGTTCTTGCCTTTCAGGTGCTGGGAGGGGCAGGTTTGAGCTGTGGGGTGCAGGGGTGTGGGAGCAGAGCTCTCACAGGGCTGTTGGTGTTCCCCACACCCGGGACGTGCCGTGCAGGGAACTGCTGCCTCAGCTGTGGTAGCAGCAGTTCTCGAAGGCTTTTCTGTTAGTGCCTCTGACACAGACCCCAAGCTGTGTTTTAGTATTAATTGTGTGTGTGTGTGAGCTGAGGAGCTCCATATAACTGTGGTGCCTGGCTGTTCACTGTCTGTCAGCTCAGTTTCTTATCCAAGGCAGCACAAGGGCAATCCCTGCCTTGTTGTATCTAAACCCGTTATTCTAAGCAAAACAAAGCTCCTTGAATATGTTTTGTGTGCTGTTGAAGGAGACAGATCCAAAATTAAAAGCCAGAGGAACGGCAGATTCATGTTTTGCTGGAGAAATGTGAAACTGTCTGGTTCCATTTGACATAGAGTCCCAAAGGGGCTGGAGGTCTCAGGCATTTTTAAGTAGGTCCGTGAGCATTTCTGAAATCAGCTTGCACCCTGTTATATTCTAAAAAAATAAGTGTCATTTTTATGGAATAAAAATGTTTTCATGCACTCAGAAGTACAATGGCAACAAACAGAAGAAAATGCAAACCCAACAGTGTTTGTTTTGACAGGTGCTGCTGTTTAGTGCCCGAACCCCGGGTGAACCCAAGTGCACAGCAGTGTCGGGGCCCAGCGAGCCCCTCTGTGGTGCCAGTGCAGAGCTGTGCACAGGCTGTGCTGAGGATCTGTGGGCTGGCTGGACCTACAGCATGTCCCAGGCTGTGTCCCAGGTCCAGCCAAGGCAACCTCCGTGAGCCTGGAGACCCCTCTGTGTGTAAAACCCAACCAGCACAGCAGCTCTCAATACAGACAGGAAAAAGGTGAAGCTTTCTGCTTTGTTGGGTTTTTTAAGATTGAAGCTTGC